TGACCCAGCCCCCCAGCAGAAGCACCCCACGAGGACTGGGGAGCGGCTGTGAGAACGTGCTGATTCAGCGGTCCCCACGGAGGGCCCTGTCCCCTCCCTCCTGCCCTTCCAGCAGCAAGGTGGGAAGAGGAGGCTGGTGTCTTGCCCCAAGGCATAGGTGTGCAGCCTGGGAGGTGTGACGGGTGCCAGCGAGGGGGGGTCTTGGGACAGGAGCCCTCACGTCTCTCCCATCCTGCGGCCTTGCAGCGGTGCAGGAGGCCCTCAGGGTCGTCAAGCATGTCAAGGAGGACGAGGTGGAGGCGAGCCACCTGGACACCAGCCTGAGAACCCTGGGGCTGCGCCTGGCCAGCGACGTGATCGGGCAGGTGCTGCAGTCGGCTCACGTGGACGGTAAGCAGAGTGGGCAGGACCGGACCCGTGTCCGGGGGGCATCCCCTCCCGCAGCGACCTGCCCTCTGCCGTGTTACCCCCCCCCAGTGTGCCTGACTAAGGCTTGCACAGAGCATCTCTCACCAGAGGTTTGCAGACCCTGTGCTCACAAGGCAGGCGTCACCATCCCAGGTGGCCTGTTCTGCAAAGGGGCCAGTGGCATTGTTTGGCCTGGAGTCCAACCGGGCCATCTCCTGCCTTAACCTCGGCTCCCCGGAGTGCAGCTACGGCCGCGCTAATCAAGCCTCTCTGCAGCCTGTTTGCAGTCCCTGTGGAACGTTCCTTGGGCTAAGAATGGCAGCCGGCGTGGTAGAGACACCAAGTGATGTCAGGAGCAGGACCAGCGCCAGACTTCCCCTGGTGATCCCCGAATGTGAAGAGAAGGAATTGCGGGGGGCGGGTTGGATATAAGCCAGGAAAGGACCCGAGTCAGGGCTGTACGCGTGGGAAAGTCTCCTAGCTGCCTGTAACGGTTCCTGGGAAAATTCTGAGAACAGAACTGCAGCGCCGGGCCACTAGGTTCTACTGCCAGCTTGCCACTGATTTCCCGTGCGACCCCAGTCAAGGCACCTCGCCCCAGATCCTCAAGGGTAGTTAGGCACCGAACGCCCATTTGAAATCAATGGGAGTTAGGCACCTGAATACCTTTGAGGATCTAGGCCTCAGTTGCTCTGTGCCTCAGTTGCTCTGTCTGTATAATGGAGGGGATGATGCTGGCTGACCCCCCAGGGTGCCTCTGAAGTGTTACGCGGAATGGGAGCCCCTGGACTACAATGCAGGGGGGACCTTCAAATGTGTGAGGCTGTCGTTTGGCCTCCGGGGCCGGAGGGGGCTGAGAGTGTTATCAGACCAGCGGGACAAGGGTTTCCTGCTACAGAGCAGCATGGAAGAGGGTGCCTGGGGGAAAGGTTTGACTCCATGGATAACTCGGGCAGCAGGACATTGTGGGAGATCGGCCAGGTTTGTTCTCTTGTTGATCCCGGGGACCCGATCTCCCTGCTTTCTATCCAGAGGCTCCGGGGCCGGAGGGGGCTGAGAGTGTTATCAGACCAGCGGGACAAGGGTTTCCTGCTACAGAGCAGCATGGAAGAGGGTGCCTGGGGGAAAGGTTTGACTCCATGGATAACTCGGGCAGCAGGACATTGTGGGAGATCGGCCAGGTTTGTTCTCTTGTTGATCCCGGGGACCCGATCTCCCTGCTTTCTATCCAGAGGTGCCTTTGGGCCTCCCCAAACCCCAGTGCCAGCACAGGCCAGGCAGGGCAATGCCTTCTCCCCAGACACCCTCCTTCACGAGCTAGTCCTTGTGCCTGTTGGCCGTGCTGCCGGGGCCCAGCCGGGGCTCCTGTGCTGGCGGCCTCTTCCTTGAGGCTCTGGCTGAAATTCCCAGCAGGGCAAGACAGGACTCCAAGCAACGTAAGTTCCAGCCAGGGCGATTGCAGCTCCCCCCAGCCTGGTGTGCTCGGCACTCGCTGGCTGGGGAGATACTGTAACTTAGTCCCTCCCACGAGACTAGGGCGGCGGCCAGCAGGCTGGGCACCCCTGGGTCACACCAGCCTTTCTGCTTGCAGAGGCCGGGAGGGTGAAATTCGCCGATTTCATGACGGCTCTGTCCAGGAGCCAGTATTTCATCCTACCTGCAGGTGAGCGCCGGTCTCCTAGTGGAGGGTGGGCGAAGGGCAGGGAGGAGAAAAGGGGCCAGGCGTGTTCCTGGAACCGCCCTGATTTTAGTACGGGCAAGTGTGTGCCACGTCCCTTCACTCTGCGGCACCAGGAGGGCGTGATCTCCACAGACCTCCAGCTGGCCAGGCAGAGACGGACGGGGGTCTGCAGCTCAGCCCTCCGTGCTCTGTGCTTTGAGTCTAGCACAGCTAGACAGGCCAGAAGGGACCATCTAATCTGCCCCTGGCTACTGCTGACCAGAGTATTCTGGGGCAGCGCCTACTCCCCCTAGAGCTAAGGTGGCAGCAAGAGGTAAGTCCTGGCCACTCGCCGACTCCCTCCGGCCCGTTCTCTGTGCCCGCAGCCCTGCAGGAGGCCTCCAGCATCCTCAGCAAGCTGGAGGGGGAGAAGATCAGCGTTCAGGACCTGCAGACCGTGCTGAGCCACTTGACCGTCCGTCTGTCCGGCGCAGAGCTCGCCGACGTGCTCCAGCTCTGTCCTGTGGATGGTGAGAATTGCCCCTGGGGCGGGGGCGGGGAGAACCGGCTTTGTCTGCTCTTCGACGTGGCCGTTCGGTGGCCTAGATCCCGCAATGCTGTGCGCTTCCCGACTTTACCATCCCCTCCCGTAATGGAACGCACTGGCAGCGGGCGGGGTCACTGCTGCAGAGAACAGCGCTGCCCTGTAGTGCCGAATGGGCTCTGCGCTGCTGAGGAGATTCCCCGGCAGTCCAGTGGCTGGGCTCTGAGTGTCTGATTTCCGTCGCTGCACTGCCATTCTGCGCTGCTGCAGTGCGCAGCCCAGCGCTGGCTGTGGATGCTGGGGAGCGGCCAGGATGGTACCATTGGAGCATTGGCACGTTTGCTAATCCCAGCCCCCACGTCCTTCTGTGCCTGTATCTCCCAGACAGCAGCAGGGTGAACCTGAGCGATTTCATCAGGGCAGTGACCTCCAGCCGGCGTTTCGCAGAATCGGTGGGTGAGTGAGCGCTGTGCTGCGCTGCGCTGCGCGGGGACCTTCGCTGGCTCGCCCTGCAAGGCAAAGCGGCCTGGAACGTGCTCCAGCTCCCAGCTGCTTGGTGAGGAGAAGCAGCCCAGAGCAGCAGGGGAATCCAGTGTCTGGACTGCGATGTCCGTGTCATGTCGTTGGGGCTGAGTTCGCACTGCCCCGCCCCCGCCTGCAGCAATATTTGTAGCCCGGCGCGCGCCTGGCAGGGCTGCCAGAGCCAGACTGAACAGCTGCCCTCTGACCAGGTGGTGAAGCCGCTGCTCCCCCGGAGGCCTGAATCGGCTTCTTTCCCTTTGAGGCCAATCCGGGAGGGCTCATTTGGCAGGTGCAACGCCCTGACCATGGAGCCAGCCCCAACCCTGCCCTCTCTCCCCCTTTGAGTGTTGAGCCACTGCCGAACTAAGGGCCTGATCCGGCACTCGTGGGAATCTTGCCATTGACGTTTTCATGCAGCTGGCTTGTGGGGGAGGGAGGGAAGCTCATGCACCCTCGCTGGCTCCCCCATAGTCCAGGAGCCAAGGCCTGGCACCCCCTTGGGTACCTGGTTTCTGTGGGGCAATAATGTTTCAGTTACAGGTTCCTGGTAATTTGTAAGCATTGGCAGAAAACGCTCTGTAGCGTGCATTGGGAAGCAGCCGGTTACAAAATTCCCAGCAACTTCGGCAATGCAGGGTCAGAGGCTGGGGGGGGGGATGCTCCCCCTGCACAGGGCCCAGCATGAGGGCCATGCATCGCTTCACCCTCGGAAGCCCTCCTGTGTACGCAGGCCTGTGCACAGGGTGAATCTCACCCGCACAGCAAGAGCCAGTCTTGGAGCCTTTCAGCAGAGCACCTGGGCATGAAAACCTCCTTAACGGTCAGGGTGATTAAGCACTGGGATAAATTGCCTAGGGAGGTTCTGGAGTCTCCATCACTGGGGATATTGAAGAGCAGGTTAGAAAGACACCTGGCAGGGATGATGCAGACCAGGGCTACTCAACACGTGGCCTTTGGGGCCCCATGCGGCCCACGGCCTGTTTGTTAGCAGCCCCCGGTGCGGTTCGGGTTTACGTGGGGCTCAACACGCGGCCCGTGAGTGGGATCCTTTGAACATGGCCTCCACTGGGAACACGCTCCACAACGGCGAGTCAATAGACTGGTCTTCTGTTGAGACGTGTTTTAGTAATTACATTCCTGGACTGTCATTGCTCATTTATGGTGCTGTCATATGAGTGGAAATTGGGTAGCTGTTGCATTTTATTAACATCAGCAGAACTGACTGAAATGGGACCTGTGTTGTGTTGTCTTGCCGTAATCTTTGTACTCATGCCCGTCAGTGTGAAAGAAGCTGTTTGCATATATTTGCATGTGTATGCAAGCACACTTAAGTTGCAGCCCTCGGCATGTGCTGTGAGTATCATTGTGGCCTCTGGGGCTTCCAGAGTTGAATAGCCCTGATGTAGACAGTGCTTGGTCTTGCCGTGGGGGCAGGACTGGACTCGATGACCTCTCGAGGTGCCTTCCACTTCTAGGGCTCTATGATTCTGTGTGCTTTCCGCATGGGACTCAAGCGCATGCTTACGCACCTCCACGTGGGCATGTTGCTGATGCCAAGGGCTGACCAGATGAGAGTCGGAGGCTTTTCCACCCCCACGCCCCCCCGTGCAGACACAGAATCTCTCAGGACAGTGGATAAGAAGCTTCCTCTAGGCCTGGCCACCCCTTTCTCTTTGCTGGCCCTGAAGCCGCCACAGTGACGTTTACTTGCCCCTCTCCGTGCGTCGGCTGTGTGTCCGCAGGGCTGCAGCTCTCCTGCCTGGCCATCAGCACGCTCCAGGATGACCACTTCGACCTCCACCACCTGGAGTCCACCCTGACCAACATGGGCCTCCGGCTAGCGAAGGAGACGCTGGCGGAGGTGATGAAGGTCGCCAGCGCGGACGGTGAGCATTCCAGGCAGCGGCCTCTGTGTGTCCCTAAGGTGCCACGGGGGGACTTCTCCTTGTGCCAGCAGCTACCAACTAGCAGAGCGACCCCTGCGGCTGTCACCAGGCAAGGCTCCGCATGGAGCTGTCGGAAGTGGGATCCATCCTGTGTCTGTGCTTTCCACTCCGAGGCTACGTCTACACTGGCATGAATTTCCAAAAATGCTTTTAATGGAAAAGTTTTCCGTTAAAAGCATTTTCGGAAAAGCGCGTCTAGATTGGCAGGATGCTTTTCCGCAAAAAAGCCCCGATCGCCTTTTTCACGATCGGGGCTTTTTTGCGGAAAACAGTCCTATGCTGTCTACATTGGCCCTTTTGCGCAAAAGTCTTTCGGAAAAAGACTTTTGCCCAAATGGGAGCAGCATAGTATTTTCGGAAAAGCACTGATGATTTTACATGAGATCATCAGTGCTTTTCCAGAAATTCAAGCGGCCAGTGTAAACAGCTGGCAAGTTTTTCCGGAAGGCTGATTTTCCGGAAAAACTGGCCAGTCTAGACACAGCCCGACTGTCTGACAGTGGGTTTTCACCTTCCGCCCCCATCAATCTGTGTCTCTGGGGGGCACAGGGCTTCTTGTTGTTCAAGGCTCAGTGGCATGTCTGCAGGTAAGTGCAGGCAGGTCCAGTCCCCTGGGGCTGCTGTGGACACTGGGGAGGCCACGTCTGGAGTTGTGTCCAGTTCTGGGGCCCCCACTATAGAAAGGATGTGGAGGGGCACCAGCGAGAGGCAACCAAAATGACTGGGGGGCTGGAGCACATGACGTGCGAGGAGAGACTGAGGGATTTGGGCTTGTTTAGTCTGCAGAAGAGAAGAGTGAGGGGGGATTTGAGAGCAGCCTTCAGCTCCCTGAAGGGAGGTTCCACGGTGGATGGAGAGCGGCTGTTCTCAATGGTCACAGGTGGCAGAACAAGGAGCAATGGTCTCACATTGCAATGGGGAAGGTCTAGGTTGGATATTCGGAAAAACTATTTCCCTTGGCGGGTGGGGAAGCGCTGGGCAGGGTTCCTTAGGGAGGGGGTGGAATCTCCATCCCTAGAGGTTTTTAAGTCCTGACAAAGCCCTGGCTGGGATGATTGAGTTGGGGTTGGTCCTGCTTTGGGCAGGGGGTTGGACTTAATGACTCCTGAGGTCTCTTCCAGCCCTGGGATTCTATGCATGGTCGTAGGCCGGGCCTACACACACACTGCATGTGTGAGACTGGGCTGAATTTCAGCCATATATATCTGCCATTATGTGTTTGGCCCTGTCTAACCGGAGAAGTCCTCTTGTGAGCTCTGCCCTTCTTAGCCCTGTGGGGTTTGCCCGTCCAGCTGTGTTCCCCAAATCACACCGATTGCAAGGCTGGAAAGAACACCTCGCCTGACCTCCCGCCTAACCCACACTGGAGCAGAATTTGACCCGCTGGGTCCTGACTGGGCCCTTCTCCTTCCAGAAAAGAGGGTGTTTTGGGCCCAGGAACTCAGTGTTAATCAATGGGAACCACCCTGCAGGCCCGGAGGAATTTCCAGGCTACACGGCTGTGTAGTGCAGGGGAAGATTTTCAAAGGAGCCAGGAGCAATGAGGGGACCCAGTTCCCACTGGAAAGTGAAGGGGAGCCAGACACTGAACTCCGCCTGGCACACTGGAAAATATCCCCCAAGCTCTTTAACATTCCCCCTCGTTCACTCTTTTCCTCTTGCTCCATCGCTCCAGTTTCTGTCCATTGGTTTCTGTCCATCGTTCTTCCCACATGTGAACTTGGCTTTGCCTTGCAGACCACGGGAAGGTGAATTTCAGAGAATTCATAGCAGTTTTAACCCAGCTGCCTCACTTTCCTGACACTACCGGTGAGTCAGAGTTTTCTCTAGAAAAGAAATCATTATCGGGACGGGAGGTCAGGCGTGGAATTTCGTTTCGATCGTTTGGGGCCAGATCCTGCTCCGTGGCCCCCAGTGTGGATCAGGAGTAATTCCCACAGTGGCAGCGGAGTGCGACAACTGAGTTCCCAAAACTCTCCCCTGTACGCTGTCAGCTGTGGCGGGTGCTGCTGGAAGAGGACTGAGCAGAACACGCTGACTCTCTGCAGAAGGAGAGGAGCGAGGGTGTGGGCTGAGCAGTCCTCTGGGAGGAGCCCAGGCAAACATGCAGGGAAGGCTGGAGCAGAACTTGATGAGTCTGACCCAAAGCCCTGAAGTCTTTCCATCTGCTTCAGTGGGCTTTACATCAGGCCCTTTTGTTCTTTTATGGCTGGTTTCTTTGTGGAAGGTTCTCCCAAGGGGCCGGTGACACCATAAAGGCTCCTGAATTTCAGCAAGTGCCAGGCCCCTGCCCTCTGATAATCAAAGAATCGGTTTTCTTCTGGACACCTTTCCCTAAAACCAGGCCTCAGGCCGGGGAGCCGTCCAGCCTCGGCGCAGCAAGTGGGGGGGGGGGGAATGGGTCAGTCTCCAGGGGGGCCGGCGCCCATGGATCCGGCCCGACCCCCTCAAGA